AGTCACTCTGAACTGCAGGATATATTTTTTTTGAGTTTTAACTGTCATCCTTTCTATTTTTTCCCCATAATTGTCTTCTTTTCCATTTCAATCATTATTCGTTTTACCCATTTCTCAGTCTTTGGTATATAAAATATTAGCAAGTAGCAAATGTTAGAGGATGGATTTTGTTATTACATTTAAAAAGAATCTAAAGTAACTATACTTTAGTCAATAAATTACTTTCAACAAAATAAAATTAATCTAACTACTGTTCTTAAAAAAAAATATTGCCTAAAACAATCTTTCTTTATAGAATTGCTACAATCTCCATGTCAGTACAGACTTAAATGCCACAATTTGTATTAGAGAAAGCATTATTCATATAAAGCAAGTTAAGACTGAATTAAATCACAGTGATTAACTTGCTTGTGGCTTACAGCTGAATTTTAAGATCTATAAAACTAAATATGTGGAAATGACAGAAGGAAATCTCAATAATTGGGGCAAAGGTTTTTCTCTAATTAAATGCAACGCATCATTAAATTCTATTGTATTAGCAACTTAAAAATATAACTGTTTAAGAACTAATAAGAGAAAAGAAGCATCAGAATAAAAATATTTGACTTTGTACATTACATTTCAATTGTTTGTAGTATATCTCATAGCTAAATCTAATAGCGACCATTAATAAAATATTTGAAAGAAACAACAAAATGTGATGAGAAACAGAGTAATACAAAGTACTTGATTGAGTAATGGAAGCCCAAAAGAGGTCTCTGATACCAAATATGGGATAAGTGCTACTATTCAGATGCTGTTTATTAAAGCTCTGTCCTAAATTATATCCATATTTCTGAGGCTGTAACTAAAACAAAAATTTATGATTACTGTCATCAAACTTTTATTTATTTTCTACTCTTGTATGTTAGTATATTCAATTTCATTTTTTTATCAAAACAGTATATAGTATAGATGAAGACAATAAAGGTGTATCTATCCATATCTGTATGGATAGATACAGAGCTCTATTATGAAAGTCACATAAGTTCTTTGTCTGTGTGCTGAGAATATACGATAAGGAAAAAAAGTGACTGCACAGAACAGTTATTAGACTTTACAATGACCCAGGTAGGACATATTGGTGATTTGAATGTGGTGACACAACAGAAGTCTTAAGAACTGAAGATGAAAACAACAGGTTTTGGGGGAGGTTTTAATATGAGAGTTTCTGTACTAAATAAAAGGCCAAAAGAATAGAGTTTCCATTTATTGCCTTAGGGAAAAATGTCAGTGGAGCAGGCTTATGGGAGGTAGTGAGGAGTTCATTGCTGGACTTCATTGGACACGATGGATGGCAGGACAGTAGAGTCTAACTCAAGGAATATATCCAAAATAAATATGAGCATTTAGCTGATGTAAAAATACATTTTTAAATCATAAAATAGAATGACATCAGTCAAGAGAATACAAAGAAGGGACGAGGTATAAGGATATTTTCTAATGAAGTAGAAATATAAATATCCCAAAATTTAGAACTTTATTTTGTTCAAATTGTTTCCAAGAAATGCCCTACCAAATTACACAGAAACCAGAATCACAAGAGCTGCCATGAGTGGGCATTATTTTCATCCATTTATTATAACAAAAATAGTTTTTTGCTGTTTCAATATTTATCATTACAAATGAAGGTAAGCTATTATATATTTTTATTGATTGATCAAATAATTTTACACATTAAAGTAATTAACTTCACGTGTGATATTTGTTACAAATGCTTTATCTATTTTCATTTTCATGTTTTAAGACATTTTACATATTCGTCAAATGTATTTATCAATTATTTTGTTATATGTTCCATTACTTTAATATGTAAAGAGATAAATATGTTCACATATTCTTTTCTAACTACTTCATACTTTCTTACTTTTTACATTTAATTCTCAGTCCTTCTGCTCTTTATGGTAAGCCATGCATGTTGATTCTCACTAAATATTTTCTTTGATATTTATCTCATTTTATAATTATAATAACTAACATATAAATCTCATCATTGCAATGTGTCTTCTACTCATATTCTGTTCTTACCCATAGTGAAGTCCAGTCCTGTTTCTTTGTTTTGACTACAAATTCTTGTGTATATGCTTTAAGACTTTGATATAGAATTTTAAAGTTCTAAATTTTAAGTACTATTTATTTATGAAATAACTGAATATCCATCAGGAAGATGGGACTGATGCTCTGCTTGTTAGATTCTCTCCTAAACCAGAATTGCATGTCAAACTTTTTTCTTCTCCAACAGAGTATATGGTATGTAGTCTTAAAATGCATCTTTAAATTTATTGTCAATGACTATACAATTAGTGAGATTTCCTATACCCCCCCATCCCAGCCCAATGCTTTGTCATGCTTTTCATGTTTTTTTTTTTCCCACTGTAATTATTATTACTTACTGCTAATTTTTATCAACCTGAGTGTGGATTTACATAATAAAATGGAAGAAATCTGTAAAACCATGGAGAAATTTGCTGTCATATTAAACTTCAGGTATGTTTTATACATGTACAACACAACTTTCACCTTTACCACAGTTACTTGTATCTATGTCTCTTGTTTTTCAATATTTTTTTGAAGTTTTCTCCATTCAGTTTCAATGCACATCCTTGACTGTTTTTTAAAGATGGGAGCAGTAGGTGGGACAGAAGAGGTCTGCTGAGCCATGTGGGTCAACTCCCTGGCCGGGGATCAAACTTGTGCTGCAGTGGATGAGGAAAGCTTCATAGCACTGTTTTAACCTACTGCATCACCAAGAAGTGTCCAGATCCTTGACATTTTTTTTATCTACAAAGTATTTTATTATTTATTTGTACAATTACTCTTTCATTTGAATTAAGGTTTCACTTCAATTTTTTAATATAGACTTTTTTAAAAAGATTTATTTATTTATGCATTAGAGCTGGGGTACAGGCCAGAGGCGCAGGCGTGGTGACAGGATTCACCAGAGCCAGAGCGGGGAGCAGAACAGGCAGACTGATGTAGTCCACTGCTGAGGGAAGCAGTAAGCGAGACAGGAGAGGTCTGCTGTGCCATGTGGATCACTTCCGGGGCAGGGGTCAAACTCATACTGAAGTGGCTGTGGCCAGCTTGCAGAGCTGTGCTTTAACCCACTTCACCACCAGGGAGGGCCCTCACTTCATTTTTAATAATAGCCTTCTATTACTCCATTTTTCCTGAATAGTCGAATAATTAGAAGCACATTACTGTGACTATAAATTATGAATAAACAGACTAAAGCCATGAAAAGTAATTGGAACACAGAAAATATTTCCTGGGGCCTGGTGTTGGCACTTTCAGCTACACCATGCCAATGCATTGTACCCGAACTACATTGTCAAGCAGGTAATTGAGCAGGTCTTTGAGGGGAAGCTTGCGAGAATCTACTCAAATCCATTCCTGAGCCTCTGATGTCCAGGAACACAAAGCACAGTTTCAAAAATCTGCCACAAATTTCATCTGTGGCATTAGTTCTGGGTGAAGCTCCTTTCTAAATTAAAAAGGCCACCATTTTTATCATGTTTTCTGTCAGCTTCTATATGACACCATTGAATTTTCTAGAAAACAAAGCTTTTAACTGAGTTGGTGATTGACATATTTCAGTCTCACTGAAAATGAGTGTGAAAGGTCACTCTGCATTTCATGATGCCTTAAACAAACTTTCACCTGCACCCCTGAAGATGATTCTAAATCAGTCTTTGGAAACCCTCCCTACTAACCATATATTGCCTAGATGTACATTAATCAAATTCCACAGAAATATAATGTCTACTTTTTTCCCTCTGTGACCACACATTGTACCTTAGATGGCCATACAATTAATAATGCAACTTGCAAAATTTCTTCCACAGAGTTATCCCTGAACAGCTCAGTCTCACTGCCTCTGAAGGTCTCCCTCTGTGCTCTTACATTCTACACCCATCCCCTACACCTAACCTCAGCTCTTGGTAACACTTAATCTCCTTAAACTACTTGGTAATACTAAATCTCCTTAAACGACCTGCTTGCATGAACTTCTTCTAAACATCTCTTTGCTCATCTACTATTTTTTTTATATTGAAAGGTGCTAATTGAGCAACTCTTAAAGAAAAAAATTCAATTTAACTCTGTATGATCAAAATAAATCAAATTTGTGGGAAACAGGTAATGAATGATCTCACCATATGTCAAAAAACAGTACCCCAAATAATAATCCCCACAAATGTTTGTAAAGTAAACTAGCTCAATATCTGGGTTTTTTTTCTAAAACTCTTATGTACAAGTACTGTTTGTCACTTCCTATATTTGATATGAGTGCACTGAATGTAGGAAGTGACAATTATTTTTAATTTGGTTTTATTTATTGTAAGGAGGATGTTGGGTCCTTCTCCCCCAAATGTGAGATCAAAAAAGTTAAGCATCTCCAATAAAAAGAGAAGCAGGAAATTAGAAATATCAAGAGAATGGAGAAAAGGATAGTTTTATTGATTTGTGTAAGAAAAGGAGAAAAATAAAGAATGTTATTTTATAAATACAAGGAAAGGGAGGGAAGAGATTTAAGTGGAGGACAGTATAAAATATATACAATTTTTTAGCTTTTGAACAAGGAGCTTCTTTATAAATTTAATGTACAAAACAAGGAAGGAAAAATCATGAATAAAATCTAGCAAGAAAAGTAGCAGAACCATTAGAATATTCAAGAAATGCAGCAAATTAAGTGGTAATGAGAGAGTTTGAGGAAAAGGAATAATTAGTTGTTTTCAGGGACCACAATTTCTAATTTAAGTGTGATAACTAGTATTAATTGGTAATTAATGGTTAAGTGTTCTGTACCTCCTAAACAATCAATAGCATGATTGACGGACATGTTAGTTATGAAATGCAGAGAAACATTTATGAACCAATTAGGCAAGCAGTATGTGAGTAGGATGGCAACAATACTTGAAGTTCCTACTGAAATAATAAATAACAACAAAAGTAACCCATACCTTCTCTGTGTCAATGCCTTTTGACATAGACCAGGTGGAGACAATATAATCCATGACTCGTTCGCTAAGGCCTTTGGGGACTTGATAGAGTTTCAGAAAATCCCGAACATTATTCAGCATCTCATGATATCGGTTGGTGTTGGCATACATCTGCTGGAAAATTGTGGTAACATTTCCAAAAATAGTTGCATAAAGAAGAGCTGAAAGAGAAGAAATGATAAAATAAAACAAATATCCCAATAAAGAAAAAATATACATGTGAATAGTAACCTAATCGATGAGTAAGTTGTCTATCAACTTTTAGGAGTAAATTAAATTCAATTCCTGAGAAGTTTGATTGGAATTTGGTATTCACTCTGTTAATGTTACCTTCAATATGATAAACATGATTTTATAGGCAGGCACCACTCTTGCTAAGGTGACAAAATAGTGGAGGAGCTAATAGATTTCATGAAGAACTAAATGATCCAAACTGTAATTTGCGTAAGAAAGTCTAGCCTGATGACTAGTCAACCTTCAGCCTTGTCCTCCTGAGTGAAGCCTAATGACTTTACGTATTCCTGGGATTGATGATCCAGTTTAGAAATCTGTATGCTCCCTCACTGTTGTCCAATCCAGCTATTGGAATATCTCCCTGTTTATAAATATTTTTGACAAAACATCAGAAATGTATGCAGTAGAGACAAATTAAAGTACCCATTTTCAGAAAGTTTTGGAAATGAACAGGACTGGAATTAACAGCTAAATAAAACTAAAGGAGAGTCTAGAAATTCCAGTTCCCTAGGGCTGGAAGCTTTTTTAGTCTATTATTTTAATTAAAAGTAAAGCCAACTTGCAGACCACTTTTTCCCTACATATGTGAAAGGGTTTTTTAATTCCTGTGAAGTGTTATCCTCTTTCTCAACCAATAATTTACCAACTCTTCCCTTTCCAGATCTAGTCAGGCTACTAATGTTACCTGATCCTGTAAAAGTTTTCACCTGTGCCTCTTAGTATGCAAATCAACATTACTGGGGGGAAAAAATAGGAAAGAAAGAAAAAACAGTGATTCAGCCCAAACTGGGCACACCAAGAACTCCAGTCACACAACACCCCTACCCTGTTCATTTGCTTCCATTTCTTTGTTACAGGTAAGCTCCTATGAAAAGGGGGCAGTCTACTACACCCCTTAAAATCCAGTAAACACAATGTTTAGTAACCACACAGTCCATAAGTATTTCACCAAAAAAGAGTAAAATACGAGATATGAAAATGAACAAGATAATTATTAAGACAATAATTACTTGCATGCTAGTTCCTGTAGGTCTTTGAAAAATGACCCCCCTTTACAAAGGTGGGTTGTTTTATTTTGCAATTTCATTAACCAAATCCCACTTGATAGAAATGGTATAAAACCAAGATGGTAGAACATCTTAAGATTTTGAATCTACTTTTAGAAAAGCATTCAGTAATTTTTAAGAATAATTTAATTGTTCTCTTAGTAAAATGAATTATAATTTCACAACAGAAAGCTATCATTTTATAAGCATTTACTGTTTTCTTGCTGTTATTTGGGGATTTTTGATGCCAGTGGAAGGAAATTTTTAAGATAGATGATATTTTGTCAAAACTGAGTCGCAAGGATTTAGTGCTGACATTTCTCAACCAGGTCTCCAAATCTTTGAATATTTATATTAAAAAAAAAAAAAGCCAAAAAAAAAAAAAGAGAGAGAGATAATAAGACACACTAGCTCTGTTCCACTATTAATTATATTTAAAATAGCAAACAGAAAAAACATGTACATTTTTTATTAAATATATATATGTATCTGTATATATATGTGTATATATATATATATATTTTAAGATTTATTTATTTGTGCATAAATAAACTGGGGTACAGGCCAGAGGCTCATGGGTGGTGAGAGGAATCACCAAAGTTAGAGAGGGGAGCAGACCAGCAGATGGACAAAGCACACAGG